ATATAGTTAAACTTAGAACAACAGTATCTTGCCCTAGTCACCACTTTAGTTACAAATTGTAGCTCCTTTTGCATCAAAAGCTGTGAGGAAGATACAAGTCAATTCTACATATAAAAGCAAATAAAACAGCATTTTTGTAAGAAAGTGGCTGAAAAGATGTATAGGGAGTAATGTGAGGGGTTAAGCCAAATTTATGATAAACAATATAAAACTGATAAAAAGGTCTAAGAAAGTGATTTTGTTATCCTCCACAGTGAAGTTATAGATGGATAAACAGTGGACAATAGTTGCATGAACTGTAATAATTCTTCATAAAAACTCTTTCAGGCTAATAACATACTGTCAACAAAACAAATATAGAGGAATGTATAATATATTGTCAGAGGAGATTTAAAGATCTTAAATTCCACATTCTGCATAATTAGCTCAGCCATACAGCAAACAAGAGAGGAACCCATATGCATACCTTGTTTCTGTAGGTAATATCTGTTAACAAACGTTTTTGGTTTATTTTATATACCTGATTCAGGTTTATAACTACAAAATTCTATAACTCCAGATTGAAATGTTTCAATAATATAAATAACATCAAATAATATTTGATGTTATTTATATTATTAAAATTTAAATTAATATTAAAATAAATAACATCAAATACTATTTGATGTTATTTATAAAATTTTTAGAATGTAATTTTGTATACAGAAAGATATATTTGAAAATGTATTTTATATACTAATGAAACATCAAGCGCACAAAACTAGTGGCCAAGCAGTCTTCGTACCTGAACACTGGGAGTTCAGTCATGGGTTTGCGCCTCGCTCAGACAGGCTGGCTATGTGGAGTATTCCAGGTTTTCTCCATGTCTGTAATGCCTAAATAGGGGCTAGTTTCCCTTAAAAAGACCTCCCGGAAGGCATCCCTTCTAGGCAGATCACCCAAGTGTTGCATTACCATACCTTAACAAACAACAACTTCAAGCACATAAAATAAAATATAAACACAGTGGGTGATTGGTTAACAAACAGTTCAGACTGCAAACAAATCAGACAATAAACACTTTTGCAAAAGATTTTTATGTTCAGATAACAAACACCCAATCACCTAACAGAACAAACACAAGAAAAAGCGATGATGCATTTAAGACTTGTTAAACTAAGCCTATATTTTACTGGTATCTATGAATGCTTTAAAGAATAAGACTTTCATAGCTGTATACATAATCTTTTTCTCACTAGTTGATTTCTGTTCTCCGAATTTCTGTGTTTTTTTTTCTGAACATTTTATTTAAAAATCTGATAATATTATGGGACCTAAAAAGAGTGGAGTGTCAAGAACTGTGTTCACTATAAAAATTTAGCAAGAGATAGTGGGCAGATGTCTAATGTTGCTAGGCAGTATGGCTTCAACAGGTCTACAGTAGGCACAATCCTAGTCATGGGTGTCAGTTCTTTAAAAGTTGAGGTATGGAATTTTGTGAAAGCAGGACCCTGCTTTCACAAAATGGTGATGCATTGCTTAGAGTTAGAAAAATTTTGATACTTTGGATTATGTAAGAGTTCAATTGGAAATCCAAGGAAAGTCATACCTGCAAAAATGTAAGGTGTGGAGTCTTCCATACCTTCCATAGTGGAAACGACACACCCCTGATCCTAGCTAAGATAGATATAATCAAAAAGACTCAAGCAGATAAAGGAGTAACGAAAATCACATCTGAGAAACAAAGATGCACCATCCATGAAAAAATGGAGAGACTGCTTTTCATTTGTTATTACATTTAAATGAATGTATTAAGAAATTATATAATTCTTATTTTTTTTTGGAGTAGCCAGATCGAATTAATCAAATTCTCATAAAAATCTATGCTTAAGCGATAATTTGGGTTTCAAACATTGTCTAAGAACAAATTATGTTCATTAACTGATCATACACTGTAATAAAAAATATATATAAAGTGAATAGTAAGAATCCAATAATGTCTATACCCTTTCATGTATGATTAATCTGTGGGATTATTGAAGAATGACCACCAAGCATTATTCAGGAATTCCAAGTCATAGTTAATATAACTACTTTTTAATGTGGCCTTGAATAACATTTGTTCATTAAAGCCATTTGCTGGAAAAATATGAATGGTTTTGATTTTAAAAGTTATCTTTTCCAGCTTTGATTTTGGAATTTAGTAAGAGGAGTTCACATACATGTATTAATAATATTTAATAATAAAATAACTACCCTTTTAATATTTTTCCAAACCACAAATATTCATTTGACAAACATTTTCAGCTTCTTTATAAGCCTTCTTCAGGTCTGTCAAGAATTCACCAGTTGAATATTTTAAATTGGAATGTTGGCAGATGCTGAATACATTACCATTCATAATTTAAAAGATAGAACATCCAAGCTACATAGGACCATGTATTTCACAAAATTCCAAGATTTATAAGATGGCTCCAAACACAATATTTAAAATATTATCTTTTAAATTTTGAATTGTAATGTATTCAGAACCTGCCAACATTCCAATTTAGAATATTCAACTGGTGAATTCTGGACAGATCTGAAGAAGGTTTATAAAGAAGCTGAAAATGTTTGTCAAATGAATATTTATGGTTGGAAACATCAATACTGAGGCACTATACACTCTGAAGAACTGTATATACCACTAAGGCAAGGATCTACAATTCTTTACATATCAACATTTGTAAGGAGGGAAGTATGCATGCTCTATGAACAAGTGCTGCAATAGCATTATTTACAAACTTATGGAGTTGGAAAGACCTGGAAGGCATAATAAAACAAAATGGCTCTAATTTGTGATGTACACCATAAAAAAGTCCAGTAGACAACCTGTTTATTAAAAGATCCAGAAACTTTCTCACTTTCTATTGCAAAGTTTATTGAAGTTCATACATTTGGATAAAAGTATACTGTACAAATTGTGCCAGCTCATCAACTGTCCCATCACATGCTAACAAAACATTGACAACACATCGAACATAAAATAGTGGATAATGTGTTGTGAGCGGTGCAGAAAATACTGTAAACTTAATGTTTCTCATAAATAATTCAGCCAAAATGGCTCAATTAAGCATAATTAGTTCAGGGGGTAAGCCCATTGGCACTCCTTGTTTCCAAAGGTAAATTTCATCATTAAATAAAAAATAATTATGCTCCATTACAAATAAAAGGGCCTCACATATTTCCAATACCTGTTGCATACAAAATCCTTTGTTTAATAACAGTGTATTAGCTATCTAACTTACAATCTTGAAGTATGACACAGATGGATGTAAGAAAACAATATCTATTTTATAAAATCATAACCCATTTGGTGCAAGAATTTTATTGACTGTAGCTTTTACTTCTATGGCAGAGGAGACCACCAGTTCAGACTGAGGCATTAAAGGACGAAGAAACTTTGGTAATTCTCGCTCTAAGAAGTAGGTGGGATGGGTACATTTGTTTACCAGGGGGTGCAAAGGCCATCCTGGCTTATGGACTTTTGCCTGAAAGAATAATCTCAGACATTCCACACAAGGAGGATCTAAGGGGCCAGGAAGAGTTGACGCTACCGCGGCAAAGAGACAATTTTTCTTGTTTTTCTCACGACAATGTTGGGTCTGAAATTAATAAAATGGTCCCAGATGGTGACAGGAATGGATTCTCTCTAAGCAGGAAATTATGATTTCTGCACAAAATAGTTTTTCACTTTATCCAAACTGAGTAGTCTTAAATTCTCTCTCTCTAGGTACTGCTTTACTGTGTTAAAATTTTTAATGGTCGGTTGAAGTAGAAGATATCTGTGGGCTGAGTAAATGGCTGAGATTGCAGCAACCTCTAGTTCAATTGTTATTTTTCCAGAGGACTTCTTACTGCTGCCAAAACCAAAGAAATTAACTGTTTTAAATCCCTTTTTCACAGTGGAATATGTTTAGGACCATACTGAAGAATCCAGTGGACCTTCTCAAACCATTGCATTAGTGTAGTTGTAGTATTCAATTTTCTGCAGCATGTGTTCTGATGATAGGTAGAACCAGCAAGTCATTGTAGTTTTTTTGTTTATTCTGTTTATTGTATATTTTGTTCTGATGTCATTGATCTTTGCCAGTTGTTCATATAGTAACAAAGGTTTATACCATTTCTTGAACTTCTTGTGCACAAGTTAAACAGTGAGCTCCTCTGATGCCATTTTATTCTGTTTTTCTTTAATGAGCTTTGCCAAAAATTTGCATTCAAGCTTTGGTATTAATATACCAATGATACACTTTAAGAATGACTTGTAACTCAATGATATANTACAAGTTAAACAGTCACTGTTTAACTTGTACACAAGAAGTTCATGAAATGGTATAAACCTTTTTTACTATATGAACAACTGGCAAAGATAATGACATCAGAACAAAATATACAATAAACAGAATAAACAAAAAATCCTCTGATGCCATTTTCTTCTCTTTTTGCTCCTCATTTTTCTCTTTTTGCTCCTCATCTCTTTTTGCTCTTCTCATTTGCTCCTCTGATGCCATTTTCTTCTGTTTTTCTTTAATGAGCTTTGCCAAAAATTTGCATTTAAGCTTTGGTATTAATATACCAATGATACACTTTAAGAGTAACTTGTAACTCAATGATATACATTTTGGTATTAAATCATGCTGTCCACAGTGTCAGTGTTATTTATTTTATGAACATTTCAGCATAGTAAAAAAATTCCTTTGTTTTCACTAAATATTTTTTAATTTTGTGTACTGTCTATTATATGAAACTAAGTAGTAGTTGTAAAATGGAAAGAGGTTAAAGTCATCAAAATGATGCATTCTCCATCCATTGCATTGAAGATGAAAAAAGTGAAAATTTATATGAAACTAATTTATGAAACTTACATAGACCTGATGAGTTTTAGTATGATCATTCTTACTCAATATAAATATGTTATATATAATATTAATGATATTTAAGAATCTATAAGAATAAAAGCAAGTATATAAAATGAAAAACACCTGTATAATTTTAACATCAGGTGAAAATCTTGGAGGTAGACCAAAATGCAATATCCAATTCAAACGTGCTCCTAACAATAAAATAACATCTGACTCCAACAGAACTCTATGTAAATACAAATTTTAAAATAAATATATTACTAAATTCTGTATAATTTTTATAATTTAAACATGCCATACTTTGAGCGAGCTGACGAAACACATAAAGGATGAGTATCAGGTACAACACCTTTACCCATTGGCGTAGGCAAAAATGGCAAATTATACTTTTCAACAAAGTTTTTTATTGCCCTCTCAGCTTTACCATATGCGGAACCTAGATTTAAAAAAGTGAAAAATGAAATACAGTTGAACTTGTCTATCTCCTATCTCATGAGAATGAGAAAAAAAATTTGATATAGACTGGTTTTGAGATATAAAAGTTATTACACAATAAGCAGTAATAGATTTGATTGGAAGTATGGTATTTTATTAGTACAATAGCAAGTACAGTAAATAACTGTATTAGGTATAAATAAAACATTTTTGATGTATCTTATCAAAAACAGTTTGTCAATAGTTTCTGATGCTTGACTTTCTTCAACCAATAAGATACAAGCTAAACTTGTAGCCAATCAGAGAAAAGCAGCATTAATTGCAACTAGGTACTGTACTGCATGAGATGTTTCTCAACTACAGTTGAAAAATATCTCATGCTCATCTCTAACTAGTTGTTACTCAACTACCAACAAAATGTAGTCACTGAGCTTTGAAACTGACTCTTCAGACATAATTTGAAATATACAGGTTTTGGGAGAAAATTATTTGAGATAAACATGGAATATACAGTATATTGAATTTAGGTTAAAAATGCAGGGGAAAAAATAAATTTTGAGACAAACATGTTTGAGATAGATTGTAATCTGTACTTTATTATATTAACATATTCCATTGGCAGTTAAATGAGAAACAATGCCTGTAATTATGTGGCATTTGTGAAAAGCCAATTTTTAACTAAAAATTGTGAAAGCTATTAATGCATGAAAAAATACGAATATAAGTTTCATTTTCATCATTTCTGACTTTTCTATCAATATAAAACACTTGCTATTATAGAAAATGTTTAAGAGAACTTTACTTTTATTTAAGAACTTGTTATACCAAAGAGAGGTGCATACAAAAACTAGAGGATGACAATCATTATTCAGATGTTTATTGTAATATAAATCTGCACTGTAAAATACTTGTATTGATAGTACATCAAATTCTGTTTTTACACAAAAGATATATTCCCAAAGAATGTTTGTAAAAAATATGCTGCATCTATGGAAAAATAGAAGACCTAAAAACATCAGCAAAAATAACATAATAAACGATATGAAAAATCATGTTAGAAACTTTTCATTTTTACATACTTGCATCTATTATTTCATAAAGATTACACATGTATATAAATATGTATTATATAAAGTAAATTATCATTTGAAAACAAAAATAACAAACACAAAAATTTTGCAAAATAATGAGTTACATATGACAATATTTTATTCATTGTCACTTTCTGATAATAAATGCATACATTTGCATAAGACCAGCAATACTATTGCTACCACTAGAAGTATCTTGGTCATTGTCTTCGTGCTCCTTTGGCATAAGAAGTATCAAAAATTTTTCAGTTGTAATTAATAAAACAAAAATTTAAAAATATAACATTCCACTTATTGACTTTTCAGCAAAATTAAATAATTTATACATGCACAAATGTTATTTTAACTTTTATTAAATATTTTATACCATTAAACATCAAAAAGGTACTTTTCACTTTAAACACCAAACTCAAAATGCAGACAATAGAAATTCCCTATTAAAGTTGTACTGTACATATAATTAGGAGTATTCTCCAGAAATTTCTTTTCTAATTGGAACAAAAAACAACGTAGAGGCAAATAAAATGAAGCAAGTGCCACCTGCACTGTACTACAAAAATTTTTGTNGTTGAATAATTCTTCAATCATGACTAACAATGAATTACTAAACTAATAACCAGTGTTGCAACAAATAGTATATTCGGCCTGAGGCCGAATACCGAATATTCGGCCAGGAGCGTGGCCGAATAGCCGAATATTCGGTGAAACTATTCGGCTCGATTAATGCACGTACGAAAATTGGCACGCAAACCGCATTATGGCAAGGACCCCGCTCTCTTTTTGCCCGGTGTCACTACGTTTCGCCAATCGCATTGATTCTTGACAGTTGTAGCGGACAGAAAACAGTGTCATGGAAGTATGTGATAAATGATGATATCAAATGTGGATAACAATGAAATGACCTACACGTGTAAATAACGGAAGAAGAACAGAGAAGGACCGCAAAGTGAAAATATAAAAATAAATATGAAATTGAGTAGATAACATAATCGAACAAGTCGAAGCAGCTTATTGGCGCGAAATTTGCGGCCGTCAATGCCAAACAATTGTTGTCATAGACTTCGGAAAGCTAAATTCTTGTAATAGTCACTTAGCATGCACAGGCAAAAGCCTGAGGTCGTTCTGGCTACCAAGCTGTTTCGAATCTGTGAAATGATAAATGTGACTTATGCCGACGTCCTGTCTGTCTCTTTTCTCCGTTATCACCAGCTATGACTCACGTAATTGTAAAATGGGAAATCTACGACGGAAAAGTGACGAATCGAAAGTATCGTGAGCGCGTATTATGATGCATGCATAGGCATACGTGGACTAGAGAGATGGAGGAAAGAGAAAGGAAAGAGCAAAGACAAGCGCTTAAAAAGGATAGGCAGGGTTAGACCCTCAGATATGTACGCCGATTCTCGAACGAATAAAGTGTGTACGTGTGCTAATCTTTGTGATTATAAATTGTGAATACATGTGACTAATATTATTTTCTTTTTTATTTTGTGCGTGTTATAAAAATTAAATAAATAATATATACAACAAATAGGTGAACAATAGCTCAAAGGTGATTTTCCATGTGAAAATGTTATTTCTATCTCTAATATTAATGCATTTGCCTTTTCTATACAATAAGTAAATTTCTAATTGCTCCAATGATTTTAAGGAACTTCCTTCATATGCATCTCATGTAAAAAGGACAACTGCGTTAACTTTAAAGATAAAAACATCATCTCTGTGGCACAAAAATCCATTTCTGAACTGAAGTTTACCTATTTTTTGTACGTATATATATTATTTTTATTATCTGTTTATCTATATATCTGTTTTTGTTTTATATGGTTTGTTTTTTCATCTTTTCAGCATTTTAATTTAAATTTAAATTAAATTGTTTAAATTTAAATGTCTCATTCAAAGTTTGACTTCTGCAATGTTTTTCCATTCATTTCAAACATTCACTGCATATCTTTAACTCTGTTGAAAAAAATTGTATTTGACTGACATTTGAAAATAGCAATGGTTCATTCATCATACTTGGAATGATATCCTGAAGATGACCTCAAAGAAGCTGAAAACAGTGTTTATCAACATAAGATTTCTGAAGACACAAGATTAGTATGAATTAAATAGTATAATAATATAATAATCATTTATATCATCTAAAAACTAACTATTTTATTAATAAACTATTTTAAGAATATTAAAACATACATGTCTATTTTATAAGAAAAATAATAAAATAATATAGTAAGATGTTACCCACAAGAAAATTCGGCAGGTGATGGCATCATATTGTTTTCTTACCTTAATAAACTTAAAGAGTAGAATTAAGTCTGAATTTCAAACATAGAACCATATCTTTCACAGACAAGGAAAATACATTTTAATTAAAATAATAATTTGGGTTTCTAATGATTCTTTTTCAGGAAAATACTTTTTGATTATTGCATGCTGTCACAAGGCATGCTATATTTGTTTTTAAATATGCATTCATGATCAAAGAAAAGTAACAATTTATATATTTAAAATAATGGTGTACATAGTTTTCATAAAACTTAAAACTCAGTTTTTTCATAAATTAGCAAGCACCATTTAGCATTGTCACTTTGCAATGTTAAGTGTAGCAATGCTGAGCACTGATCTATTTTTAGTGCTGAAATAATGGGAAATTACATTATGATTTAGGTCACTTGGCTTCTCTGAGAAGCCATGCATTTTTTTCTGAAAAATGATAAAACCAATGCAAAACATTTTACATATCACAGAGCATAATAGTATCCAAGTGCAGATTCCTCCAAAAGCTGAAACTGTTCTACTAAGCCACAATAGATCATCTTCCTCACTTTTCCACTTGTGTGTGCTATGTAAATGATATTCTGATAATTTGGAAGGAAAAACCTAACACTGAAGATGTCATATAGGCTTTTAATTATAATCAATATGGCTTAATGTTAAAGTTAGACCAATACAGCAATAAACAAGTACATTTTTGAGATCTTAATATTGAATTCATAAAATAGCAAATAATAACAAACATTTATTACAAATCCACCCATAACCCTTTCTTCATCACAGCAGCTTCAAACGACCCACAAAAGTACAAAACAGCAGCATTTATAGCATTAATAAAAAGTGATTACACTAATTGCTCTAATTTTACAGACACAGTTAAAGAAATAGTTAAAGGGAATCAATATTATGTAAGTAAAAAATGATTCATTACAGCCCTTGCCCAATACACAAATGAGCCAGGAGTGTCATTGCTCTGAAATGAGGCCAAAATAATAAGAGTTTATGACAATCAAAGGTTAAGAACCCTAGAAAATCTTGAAATATTTTGCACCAACAAGAAAGGGGAATGTATTAACGACAATTAAAATGATAGATTACCCCTAGCTTGACAACACTTAATTGACAACTCCTTAAGGGATGACATAACAGCTATCCCAGAAAATAGCTAATCAAATAAGTATATATGTTTAATACCAAACACAAACAGCTTAACGTTTAATTTCATGTAATTTCCTTATAATGTTAAATATTTACTATTGTTTAATTTATATATACAAGTTTTTGACACCTATTAGTGCCATAATTAAATTAAAAATTTTTTTAAAAAAACATCAGTTATAAATAGAACTTTCTACAGCATTTGAAGCTATAGAATATTATAATTTTAACATTCAATTTTTTTTTTATCTTCTGGAATTTTTTTTCATTTTTTCATTCAATAACATGAAGCAGGCTGTTAAAGGTGGCCAAAAATATTTGTTTTGTAATAAAAATTTGCTTGCTTGGCAAATTTATTATTAAGCTTAGATAAATTTAGGATAAACTAAATCATTTATGAAAAGTGAGTATGGTTTTATATTGTGGCTTAATAATAATATCCTTATTTTTAGGAAAGTAGAAATTTTTCAGTATTTTTTTTTTTAGCTTTTAAAGAGCTTGGTATCTCACGGATGTCATATGTCTGTCACAGAATTAGAAGAAAATACATAATAAAAATTACCTTTTCCAATAATAATTAATGGTTTTTCTGCTTTAACTAGTGTTTTTGCAGCATTTTTAATAAGCTCAGGACAGGCAAGCATAACTGGTGGTTCAGGAACTTCAGGATAAAATTTTAGATTATCCTCAGAGACTTCACCTACAACAAAGTTTCCTGGTATATCAATGTAAGCTGATCCTGGTCGCCCATACATACTGCATTTTACTGCCTGTAACATACACTCGTATCAGATAAGTTGTACTAGATTTCATTTTATTGGGTAATATAAATAAATAAATAAATAATGTGAAACAACTCAAAGTTCTTTAAAAAATAACAATAACTATGTAATTAAAGTAAAATTCAACAAAATACATTACAGTAGAGCGTCGATTATCCGAATCAATTGGGGGCTGAGGTTGTTCGGAAAATCGATATTTCGGATAATCGATTATGTACGAAAAAATATATTAACCTATCCCATGTTGAAGTTTTTCTCTGTTGCGTGTCGCTTTGCATTGAATTTTCATCGATGTTAAGCCTAACATAAACTTTTTAAAATAATAATCATGACTATTGTATCGTTAAAAATTATTTCTTTATTTTGTACAAACAAAATAAATATATTGAAAAATATAAAAAATTATACTTCAGAAGTTAATTTAGTATCAAAAACGTAAAATATTTGAGTAGCCCAAGACATAGATTGCAGTGCCACAGCACTGGCAAAAATTTAAATTTGCCGACTGGAATTCTTTCAGATAATTGACGTTTCGAATAATTGACGCTCTACTGTATTGTTATATTACAAAATAGCCAAAACATAACCATGTAAGAAAAAATGTAAAATTCTGTTTAAGTGTTATTATGTAAATTATAAAACAGTTTATGACAATTATTTTATTAGAACTGACATTATCAGAACTGCATTGTATTTTTAATTTGAGGTACTAAGAGGAAACCATAAAATCATTCTAACGTCTCAAATCAGAACCACAATGTACAAATTTAGCCAACCAGATCATCATCATCGTCTTACATTTTACGTAAGACGATGATGATGATCTGGTTGATGGATGATGATGATCACATACGTAAAATTTTGAATGTTATATGGGCATAATTTGAAATGGATATAACTGAAATGGATGATAGTGATAATGATGAATAATACTGCAATTTGTATTGTCTTGAATATTCTTGTATGACTTGCAATCAAACTTAGTGAGATAGTGGGCTGTGACAGATAAAATCTAACATACTCAGGTCAAATTGTTAACTCACTCACTGCCTAAAACAAATTAACTTGTATCTGATGGTTTATCGACTGATGCCCTTACAAGTTACCTTGTAAACTGCATTTTTATTTTCAATGCTTAACATGAACATATCTGTAAAAAATTGATATAAGTATTGGATAATAAGCATATGGAATAAGAATAAAAAAGAATCAGTCTGACACCAGAGAATGGATTTATTAAAAAAAAAACATAACTTATAGGAAATATTTAAAATTACAATTTATACATATAATGAATTTTATATAATTTTTAATCAAATTTACAGTTAGGCTTTGTTAAGTACACTAAACAGTAACAAAAATCTTATAAATGTCTATTTCTGATATTTTATTGAAATACTCTTCCGTGCAAAGAACTATTTCTCTTCACAAACTAGACAGTAATCATGGACAGACATATTTTATCATACTCAGCACCGTTTATTGGTCAGCCATTGTTTTATTTCTGTTGATGGAATAGTGCTAAGTATGTAAGGAACCAAGTTTGAGCATTATTTTTAGTTATTTTTTATTTTGCTTTTTATTCTATTTTTGTTTGGGGCTTATGTTTTGTTAGGACGAAGGTTTCCTCACCACTCACCTTAGAAACTTAAAAAAAAAACAGAAGAAAGAAAAAAAAACCAACTCACCAACGAAAAAGAAGCGCCATAGAAAAAGAAACTTGCACACACTTGCGCACCCGAGCGGAAAAAAGTAAGTCCGCACCGAGAAGAGGGGGGAGACCCCACAAGCACAGGAACTTGCTAAACCTTAAAAAGTAAAACATCATCCCAAAATATTGTCAGAAAGAATAATGTAAAAGGTTAGCGAGTATTGTCGGGAAATAGGCTGCCAGGCAAAAAGGAAAAGTTTACTGTTAGTGATAAGTATGTAAATGAGGGGAGTGGTCTCACTTAGAATTGTGACGTCACCTCATATTATAAAGACCATACCTCAAGCAAAGATAAACGAGATGAGCTTCTGTTAGCAACAAGCATGGTGAGCTTCATAGCAGCGAACAAGAGAGGTGTCCAATAGCGATAAAGTTGTTCCAAGGTGTTTTTGAAGTTATTCGATTTGTGGATTGAAGATTGGAGAAAGTCTTGAGAGTTGAGGAAACAGGTTCCTAGTACATTGAGGTGACAGTTAGGACCTTAGTTCATAAGACTTATTGTACATAGGTTAAGTCTTTGAATTTTTTTTGTCGAATTCCAAAGGGGAATAGATTTAAGTTAACAAATAGATTGATTTGAGTTTTGTCGGGTTAATTCTTATTGATTTTCGTTGAATAAATTGTTGTTTGAGTGTTACTAAATTTCGTACATAGTTATTACTAGAATTATTATTAAATATTGGATTGTTTTTTTAACGAACTTTGTCATTAATTCTTTTGGAGCACGCTTAAAGTCCAGGCCTGGCACATTAATCGCAAATCTGCGTAAAGTACCCGTTAGGTAACGGCTATTTCCAGCACACAGTTCGTGTCGAATATCATTGTAAAAGGCATAAAAATAATATAGTATTTAACACGTAATGAAAATCATCTTTATTTCTAATTTTTTTGATGGATCCGGCATCTTTTTCTCCAATCAAACTTACAGAGAACTTTTCTTTAAATGTCAGCCTTATTATTATTAAATTATTTTTTTTTTTTACAAAAAGCATGTACCATATGCATTTAAATGTGTGCGAAAAAAGCCACTTTAAGAACATTATCAGAATGCTTATAAACTGCATGGGAAATGTGATCTCAAAAATAGTGAGTTTACAGAAAATTATTGGAATTACAGTAGAGCGTCGTTTATCCAAATCAATTGGGGACTGGGGTTGTTCGGATAACTTATTTTTCGGATAACCAATTATGTACGAAACAATATATTAATTTATCCCGTGTTGAAATTTTTCTTCGTTGCGTGTCGCTTCGCGTTGAATTTTCGTCGATGTTAAGNGTTAAGAGATGGTGCCTTAATGCTTACCTCTAGTACCAAATTTATTTGTACAGTAGAGCGTCGTTTATCTGAATCAATTGGGGACTGGGGTTGTTCGGATAACTTATTTTTCGGATAACCGATTATGTACGAAGAAATATATTAACCTATCCCATGTTGAAATTTTTCTCCGTCGCGTTGAATTTTCATCGATGTTAAGACTAACGTAAACTTTTTAAAATAATAATCGTGGCTATTGTATCGTTAAAAATTATTTCTTGATTTTTTACAAACAAAATAAATATATTCAAAATATAAAAACAATAAAAAATTATACTTCAGAAGTTAATTTAGTAAAATATTTGAGTAGCCGAAGAAATAGCTAAAGATTACAGCGCCACAGCACTGGTGAAAATTTAAATTTGTTGACTGGAATTCCTTCGGATAACCGACCTTTGCATAAACGACGCTCTACTGTAGTTTGGTTCATTTGGTTATGGCAATGCAGCACATGGACAATCTGCCAACAGGAATGCCGCCTGGGAGGACTGTTATGGGAATCTGGGCCCTATTTAGGTGTTACTAACATAAAAAATAACCCAGAAATCTCTATGTGGTAATGCACAAACCCACTACCAACTGTTATATGGTGGTTTTATTCACACAGCCACTGGTGGGCACTTATTTTTCATTTCTGAATGATACTTTATATCATTCAGAAATGAAAAAATCCAAGCTGTTACTCATGGAAAGTTAAATGCTTATATATCAATAGTTTTCACAGTGTAACACTGTTAACTAGATCAGGGCTGGTAAACCTTTTTGAGCTTGTGTGCCATATAGTAAGCATACTTGTATGAGCTTTAAAGATGTTTATGCATGCCAAAGTTTTAGACTTCGAATAATGATATTTAAATAGATTAAACAAATATGCTTTAATTAGAATAAAAGTAAAAAAGCTGACTGGAGAAAGGATTATCAGGTAATAAACTGAAAGGATGATTGAAAAAGACAGATGATGAATCAAAATAATATGATACATTATGTGCTAACTGATTTCTCCTTACTTGCCACTTTGGGCATGTATGCCATAGGTTTGCCACCCCTGAACTAGATGCACACAAGTGCTCTGTACTATCTGTTGCAGTAATGATATAGTATGTCTACTTTGGCTGTATCATTGTCGCAGAAATTAACTGGATATATTTGTTGATTTTTTACATTATATCCTTTTTTGTATGAATTATATTTAGTTTATTATTTTAAAATTTTTTTGTCAATTGATGGCACTACATGTAAATTTCCAAATCAAATGTACACAGAAATTAACTGAAATGTAGAAATGCAATCAATATTTTGGGATGGTATGTACATTATCTAAGTGAGAAGTATATTAATGTGAGGTCACCAAATTAGGGATAACCAAATGTCAGGATTTATCTGATGGTGAGTGGATGGAAGTGAGGCAGACAGCTGCAGTTACAAATAAACCATCTATTTATGCTAAATCTTACAATCTATAGTGTGTCTCGTCAACTGTTGGAGCTGGAATCTATGAGGTCATTGACTCTATGCTTCTGAGGGTCAGGAAGTCTGGTTATGAAGTGTCGAAACCAAAGCAGTCCAAGGCAGGATGGCAATGTTAGGGATGAAGAGTTTGTATGTAGAGCACAGCAGACTAGATAGATGACAGACAACCTCACAATGGGAGGAAGAGGAAAGTCTGCCTTTGTCCTTGAGATCCAGGCTTTTAAAGGATTCTTTCCCCTGGATCTCTAGCTTTCCAATTGGTCAGTTTCTTGTATCCAGGTAGATAACAGACCATTTCGGGCTACAAAGGATCAAATTCAACATTGTGTTTTATTCGATCAAGATAAATTAATCAAACCTTGAAACTCTTGCTCGTATTTAATTGTTTCGAATTCTTGTAAGTCTGACACACAATCTCTCCTTTCAAGGTTATTTAAAAACTTTTTTTTTTCAATTAATTTTATTTTTTCCCAATTTTATTTAGTTTTCTTCCCCCAATTTTTACGAGTGTTGGAATCAAAGCTCAATTTCTTGATTTGACACGTGAGCTCGAGTATCATTCGGACCTCACATTAACGTAACTGCAAAGTTTCATAGCAATTGGTTGAACAGCATAGGAGTGCATAGTGAATAAACAGACAAAAACACCCTCATTCACATACAGTGAAATTCCATGTGGAATACATAACAAAATTTTTTTGGCCAACTCATACACGAACACCTTCCAATTTACATTGTGTATCATCATTCTGCTAGTTACCTCCTCCTTCCTTTAAGCCCTTCAATTGAATCAGAACACTTTGATAATTAATGTTTGAAAGATTATTCTAATTGGAATTTACATAATTTAAAATCTTACATGTCACATACCATTGTATGTGACATGTAAAAGCAAAAACAAAGATAAAAAGCTGAGAATGGAGGAAAAGATGGATATGGCTGAAATGATACACACTACTTTTAGAAGTAACCATATTTGGACATTATAAACCCTCAAGATCTTTAAAGTGGCAAATAAGGGGCTGTTATTGCAGCTATTCTATTTATACTCTTCAACAGTGTGTTATATCTGGTCACCTTTAATGATGAAGCAACATTTGTTATAAAAGGATTCCAGTGTTTCAGCTGCTATGGAATAAGGACTCTATGGACCTTTCACAGAAAGGATGGAAAGAGAATATGTTGGAGCAATGTCCAGAAATGTGAACAATGACGACAAAAGAGCACATATACACAATTGAAAACAATCTAAATTCAATGGCATTGCCAATATTTGCAACGGAATCTGAGAAAGATGTGCAGTGGGAATGGGCTAGGATTATTCATCTGGTATGAACTTCACAGAACTATGGTTCTTAGAGAAAATTGAGATTTATGCTATCTCAACAGGGGGAATGTATTAATTTCAAAGATGCTATCAAATGCATGAAGATTGAATTACAATTAGGATTCTGGATAGAATCAGTGCTAGAGATGCTGTTGGATGTTTATGTTACAGTATTCAATTGAAATGTTTTATCATAGGTGGTGTTAATATTTATTTGTTTAATGTTTGAATTGATTGAATATATAGATGAGACATAAATGTTTTCGGTAACTATAACGTTTTAAAATTAGATAATATTCTTTTGCACTATGCGAGACATTGGAATTCTGTTAAATTTCAAACTGGTGGGCCATGTTCTACTTTAATTCTATGCAATGAGCTTTGCAAAAATGTGTAATGTTCAGTTTTCAAATTAGTAGTTTGTCAGTGAAATATTAAGCTTAAGCTTATGCTTTGTATGTTCTCATTTGGAATTTGAGTTATTTATTCCACTTATGGTTGAAGATAGGTGTTAAATATATCTAGAAACATTTCTCTACTAATTTATTGTTTTCAATGAATTACTGGAGAAAAAAAAAATGTGAAGTATGTTAATTTAATGAAATCTAGTTAATAAAATCTAGAATATTTACATAATATGAATTTCAATACTAATTGTTTCTAACTAAATAAATTACCTTTTCAATGTGAAATGGGATATTTTCTATAGAGGTAGGCCGAGCAGAATATTTACAATACATTCTACTGGCTTCAACCTATAATAAAATGCAAATTTTAAGGAAATCAATGTATATACATGAAAATTATTATATAGAATCAATTTTGATTTAAATACTTGTGGATATTCTTGGAATGCACCTCTTCCTTCTTGATCCTCATCACTTGATCCACCTATTAATAAAAAAGGCCTGAAAACAGAAATTTAATTTTTAAATATAGAAAAAACTTAAAACTATTGAATAATCAATTCACTTACCATCCATTTACCTGTGAATTTGCCAGTCCAGACAAAGCATTGATCAATCCTGGTCCTGACACCACTAAGCATGCACCAGGTCTATACAATAACTTTAAATTAATCTATAACTTTTTTTAAAAGTTATTTTCATAATCACTAACCTCTTAGTTAAATAACCCATAGCACTTGCTGCATAGCATGCCTAATTAATTTTAACAAAGATTTAGTAATCAATGACGCTTCAGAATGTAGAAAGTAATTCTAATTGGTGATTTATGACTATAATTATTATCTTGTTTGATTAAACTTCCATCAATATGATTGCATATTTAAACTTTCTTTAGAACCAGGTTGTGCTACTTGCCTGTTTTTATGTTGCAGAAACCAAAGCACTCATTCTGTTCTTCAATAGGAAGAGCATGACTTGCAAGTCCAGTGTTAAAAAAAAATTCACTTCACTAACATTTTCAGGCTCCTCCAAAGTCCTGCTTCAGATGAATGTTGCCCTTTCTTTGATGGAACAGCAATTTAAAATAAAAATTCAAATGTTGAAAAATATCAAATCATATCATATTGAAATATCTATTGAGATTTAAAAATGGGAGGTGTTGGATTGTTTGCCTAAACATTATGCAAAATGGAATAAAGTGCAAATGTTCACCTGAAGCAGGACTCCAGAGGAGCCCAAAAACATTAGTGAAGTGAAATTTTTTCTGACACCACACCTTAGGTTTTCAGTGAGAATTATTTAACACCCAGTGTGAAGTGTTCTCTATAGTCTCAAAAACAGTTTATTTAGTTTATTTTATGCTCTTACTTTTATATTTCTCATGTATTTTTTATTTAATTTTGTCATTTATTTCTTTTCTTTATTTGTATTTATCATATTTATTTTTATTCATTTGTTTTAGTTTTTTTAATTTAAATTAACTAGCATTTGTGTTCCAAAATGTTTATTATATTATATTCTTTTGTTTTGTTCAATTCTCTATTTTACTTGAAAATGATCTTTAAAAATCCAGTAACATGTTGCTTAACTTTCCTGATAACCTTGAAATTTCGTTGGGCACACAAGTGCTCTGTACTATCTGTTGCAGTAATGATATAGTATGTCTACTTTGGCTGTATCATTGTCGCAGAAATTAACTGGATATATTTGTTGTTTTTTTACATTATATCCTTTTTTGTATGAATTATATTTAGTTTATTATTTTAAAATTTTTTTGTCAATTGATGGCACTACATGTAAATTTCCAAATCAAATGTACACAGAAATTAACTGAAATGTAGAAATGCAATCAATATTTTGGGATGGTATGTACATTATCTAAGTGAGAAGTATATTAATGTGAGGTCACCAAATTAGGGATAACCAAATGTCAGGATTTATCTGATGGTGAGTGGATGGAAGTGAGGCAGACAGCTGCAGTTACAAATAAACCATCTATTTATGCTAAATCTTACAATCTATAGTGTGTCTCGTCAACTGTTGGAGCTGGAATCTATGAGGTCATTGACTCTATGCTTCTGAGGGTCAGGAAGTCTGGTTATGAAGTGTCGAAACCAAAGCAGTCCAAGGCAGGATGGCAATGTTAGGGATGAAGAGTTTGTATGTAGAGCACAGCAGACTAGATAGATGACAGACAACCTCACAATGGGAGGAAGAGGAAAGTCTGCCTTTGTCCTTGAGATCCAGGCTTTTAAAGGATTCTTTCCCCTGGATCTCTAGCTTTCCAATTGGTCAGTTTCTTGTATCCAGGTAGATAANATTGTTACTTAAAACTTCCATTGTTACTTAGCACTTCCATTGTTACCTAACACCGCCATTGTTACTTAACACTTCCATTGTTGATGGAAGTGTTAAGCCTTAATCCTGTCTTTCTCCCCCCCGGGAGGAATTTCGAAAAATCCCTTCTTAGTGTGCGTTTTCGTGACGTACCCTATCTGTGTACCAAATTTCAGCTTCCAACTCCTAACTGTTTGGGCTCTGCACTTATTATTATTAACCCGTCTCGATTATATTATAGATTAGATATTTTTCTGTGCTTTTTAAAGGAATGTTTGTAAACTTGACAGCCAAGTAGCCTAAAAAAGAAGGTCAGGTCGTCAAAAAGTTTTTGTTCTGGAAGACTTGAAGTGAATAAATGGTGTCTACCAAAAAGGTTTTTTATATTTTAATTTTTGGACAGTCTGTCTCTTCAATTAACTATTTCCTGATAACTTTAAAATTTTAGTGGTAACACCTGTTATGATATTTTATTAAAAAACTTTTTATAACTTTAACAATTATAAAATGGCAAAAAGCTTAATTTTAAGGGTAAAGATGCATTTTATAAAAAAAATTGTAAATGCCAATAACAAGTAAATTAATCATTAAGTCTGAACCTACCCTAGATATGACACATGACCCCCTTTATCTTCCTCACCCCCTCAACTTTTAACCACCAAAATTTAATAGAATCAATCCCCTAATACACAAACAATCTGCAAAATTTCACAATTTTTTACAAAAAGCACAGGAGTTATTAAGCTTCAAACAGGGTAAACAAAATCATGTCACATATACATACTAACATCCACACATACAGAAAAAACCCACCAAATTTTTTTGTATTTCTCNATCAATCCCCTAATACACAAACAATCTGCAAAATTTCACAATTTTTTACAAAAAGCACAGGAGTTATTAAGCTTCAAACAGGGTAAACAAAATCATGTCACATATACATACTAACATCCACACATACAGAAAAAACCCACCAAATTTTTTTGTATTTCTCAATGTTTGAAGGATCCAAGTCCAAAAAATGTAAAAATCTTGGGGAGTCATTTTTTGACTGATAACTATACTTTCCCTCTGTTATATATAACAGAGCTGGAAAAGTAAAAATACTGAAAGCATTTGGATTAAACTGATTTTGTTGCAAACAAAAGTTTTGGTGTAGTTTTTAAAAAAATATATAAATGCTAATAATGAGTAAAATTTTCATTAAGTCCAACCCCTTACAAAATATGACACGATCTCTGACCTTTAACCACAAAAATTTATTAGCATCAATGCCCAATATACAAAAATAATCCTGCCAAATTTTTGGTTTATCTATAATTTAAAATAAACATTAATACATACACACACACACACACACACAAAATTTTGTAAGGATTATTTTTTTAATGTTTTTCGGCTCCTGGAATGTTAAAATGTTGATAAATGCAAAACAGATGTTCAGTTTCATGAACTTAAAAACATGCATATTAGAAATTTATTGTACATTTTTGTAAGAAGAGAAGAGTTCATTCTATTGAAAGATACTAAATAAACATAAATCACCAATTAAAACTATATTAATATACAATAAAATTATTCTCACCGACTGTTCGGTTCTCATTCCAACATATTTAATACCAACTTCTTGAGCTGCAAGTGCAACTTCTACAATTGGAATACCAACAACTCCAAAGAGATATTTAATTCCCTATTAAAATAAAATTAAACTATATATTAATGATTAATGATATACTGTATATATAAATTTATATACAGGTAACCCCCGTATAACACGGCACTTCTATAGCACGGATTCACTCTAACACGGTTCGAGAATTGGTACCATCCCCCGTATAACACGGTACTTTTATAGCACGGATTCACTCTGACACGGTTCGAGAATTGGGTAAAACCCTCGTACAACAGGAAATGTAATAAATTTTTACATACTTAAGTAATAATAGTTCACGAAAATTATTATTTTCGTGAACTATTAGTACTTAAGTATGTAAATTTTCTCTTCTCGCCTTCTGTCGATACACGTGGTCCTTCTCGAAACTTGTTTCAATGTTGCCAGATCGCGACGCTTCTGCTTCTGATGTTGCCGAATGTTTTTCCCTTATTCCATACTTGCTTTATTCTTCATAAGTGCTTAGCACCATATAAGGAAATTTATAAAGACCTTTTAACTAGAAGCAAGCAATCTAAAATTACATACATTTTGCAAAAGGTAAAGCATGGATCTGAAGATAATGCAGAAAAATGCTCAGAGGATAAGGATAACTTGCCAAAAAGAAAACGCTCTCGGTTAATTAATAGTGTTTTTAGTGATGACGAAGAAAACATTGTTTAATTTATATTAATATGTATCACTTAAAAAAATTTTAATGAAGATATTTATCTTAACTATGAAAATATACTAGCATGTTTTTTAATTTTTGGAACCTAACCCTCCTTTTCGTATTAGTTCTTTGTTTCGTATAACACGGATTCGCATAACACGGCAATTTTTTGGAACGTAACTACCGTGTTATACGGGGGGGTTACCTGTATTTGCATATTATTAATAGAACAACACTAACTCTGATTCTCAAAAAACCAGTTTACCGCTTTACTCAGTTATTAATTATTATTGATCTTCATACACAAAGTAAGGATGTTTAGAACTAAATGTTACTTTTAATAGATACTGTTTTACCAGAACAAATGAAGGTACAAAGATCAATTTTGTTTATGGGATAGTCCAGATAGTTCAGATTCAATTTTTGCAAAAGAATGGTCGATAGACACCATGTTGTCTGAATTTTGCTCAAACTCCTGCAATTAAACCCATCCCAGACTTCTTCCCAACATTTTTGAGCAACAAATTTGTTTGAATGAATTAAAGTACTTTGCACCTCAAGGATGTTAAAAATAGTGTCATTATATAAAAAATTTTTTGACCATAATAAGCAAACAGAAGAGACTGGAGTAATGCAGCTAAAATACATTTTAGGAGTCTAAACAAATGTAAAGAAATGGTTACTTTTAGATATAATTAGTGATATGAAATGAAGTTAAATAGGCTCAATGTATAATAAACCATTAAATGACCCTTCTAAAACCTTTATATTTCCAGTAAGTTATAATGGCTATTTGAGTGAACAAACGTTTTAGAATCTCCACTGAGTTCTGCTTCAGGTTCGATGGTGTTCCAACTTTGAAATGCATGGAATTCGAAATTAAATACCAGATAATTCACAAGTTCAAAATTCTGATGTGCAATATTTAGGGCACTCAAATAGACATTGTAACTTACTTGAAATCAGGGCTGTGGAGTCGGAGTCGTCAAAAAAATCTGCCAACTCCGACTCCTTTTTACTTACCAACTTGTTATGTATATAAAATAGAAAAGTATTGGAATCGTGTCAAATTTGACCCTCCAAGTTTTTTTTTTTTTGCAAATCTACACATTTGGAGACCTCCCGAACCCCTCAAAAAGTCAATAAAAGGGGAAAAATTGTGTTTATGTGTTGGCATCTAATTTGTTTAATTTCTTTATTTTCTGTTCTGAGATGTTAAACAATATCACAGAATGGGTAAAGTTTAAGAAACAAAATGTGGCACTGTAGCTTGCGTATAAAGGGGCATTAATAATACTATTAAATTTTGGTTCTTAATTAAAGGTCGACAGGGTGAAGACATAAAAGGGGTCATGTGTCATATCTCTTAATGAATATTTTACTTGTTATTAGCATTCAAAATTTAAAAAAATAAAATAAAACTTGGTCTCTACCCTCAAAGTAAGCCTTTTTGTCATTTTATAATAGTACAGTAAAACCCGTTAAGATGTTCTCGCCTAAGATGTTAGAATGTGTATGGAGACACGATTTAGTTCAACCACTTTGACACTTAATAACTAACTCCTGTGTTAAACCATCTGACTCCGATTCTGACCACAGAAATTATTAGGCTTCAAACGGGGTGAACAAAATCATGCCCCCCCCAAACAATCTAACATCCACACATATAGAAAAAAACCACAAACCTTTTGCTTAATTAACTCAGAATTTCAAGGCGTTCTGAGTCCAAAAATGTAAAAATTTTGGGAGGGGTCATTTTTTGACCGAGCGCTACACTTTGTTATATATAACAGCCGGAAAAGTAAAAATTATCAAATACATATTTATATATTACTAAGAGGAGTCTTTTAGCTTTGAAATAAAAAGTTTCTACGTTCTATCTTTATTAGAACTCTATTTATTGAATCTTTTATTCTGAGGTCACGTGATGACATCAGAATTTTTGGGTTTTTTTCGGTAGCAAGTCCACCCCTGGTTGGAGTCAGAATTGGATGGTAAGGAAAAGTCGGAGTTGGAGTCGGTAGATTTTTACGCGACTCCACAGCCCTGCTTTAAAGATTGTCCAAATAAGAGTCAAAATTGGAATGCTTTGGAAAAAAATGAACTCATGGTTTTTGGCTGATACATCTGACAAGTCTAAATGCCAGGATAGAAATAAAGTTGCAAACAACAATTGAAGAATATATGACAGAAGTACGTAAATTTTTAATATGAAAAAAAATGAGGAAAAAAGCAATGATTGTGACAATTACAGATCTGTACAGGGCATTCAAATCTGGCCTGGGAAAAATTCTCAACTTCTTCCTTTTGAATGTAGCTTATTGTCACTCTTACTATTTATACTAGTATTAATTCTTTCATGTAAGTTCAAAACAAAACTGACTGTGATTACCAAATCATGAATGAAAGTATGAAAATAACCCATTTACTTTATATGGATGATTTAAAAGTATATAGTAAAGCAAATGCCAAAATTGAATTTTGATCAACATTGCCATATATTCAATGAGGACACAAATGAAATAGTCATCATTTCACTTAATCTGTGATCATATATTCTAGCAGTGTTTTCTGCAACTACTAGTTTTTTGCAGTAATTTTTCACCAAATTAGCTGTATTCCCATGATATCTTCATGAAACATGCTGTCTATCTGACTGTGTAAAAATTTCAGTTGAAAAAATTTTTTCTGCTTATAAATTTTTTGAGGGCCATAGGACCCTAAAAAATTGCTGTGGAAATTTTTTATCTTGCACAAGTTTTCATTACAATTTTTTTCATATGATTGCCTGTTTAAGATGATAATTTTCAGCTCTGATGTCAATCATGGAATCTTTACAAGATTGCCTGAAGAGGGAGTCCTGACTTACAGATGTTTGTCAACTAATTGGCAAATGCATTTGGAAATAGTTTAACTACCATTACTATACCTTGGACCCCTTTCTGTATGCATTTGCTGTATGTTCAGGCAAGATAACTTTTTCCTGCCCCTATCTGTACTAACGAATTTGTGCAGACTCATTTGTAATGATTGGGATAAATTCTTCACTTTTGAAAAATCAGGAGTTTATGCTATACTGTTGAAGAATCCTGTAATGGGGTGAACACAAGGTACTGTACATTGGGGCCACAATACAAAAGCTTGTTAGCCACCTAGCTGAGCACCAGGATGACATAGTGAAAGGAAAGCATACCATGGAACTTTCAAAAAAGATGCTTGAACAGAAATGGACTCAAACAATGCTACTCAAGAGGCTGCAGTCACTGGAAACTCGTTTTCATATGGGAATCTCTTTAGTTTCTTAAAGCTTTCCTGCAGTCTTTTGAATCTGTACCATTTTTCTTAAATCTTTATTTCTTATTCTTTCTCATTTTGAATGAATTAGAATTTTTTTTATGAGAATGTTCTTTTCTCATTGTCTTTGTTTAATTTTTAGCTTAAAATTCTTTAAAATAAAATTTGCAAATGATAAATAATCTAAATTAAACATTATAAACAGGATTAAATTATATCAACATCTTGTATAATAATCTGTAATTATTATATTAAATAATATCAATTATCTAAAATTCCTTAAATATAATAGAATATTATGAAAGAAAAATTTAGAATATTTTTCCCCTAACTATTGAAAGATATACTGAAGCTGATGTAATCCCATGTACTTCTGATGAACCTCTAGAAAATAAAGAAAGACAGGAATTAAGGAAGGCTTTATTAATGTAAGTGTAAGTTAATAATTTTAGAATGGCTTTTCAGTTATAACTACAGGCATACCTCGACTTACGTTGTTTCGAGTTACGTCGTTCCCGATTATACGTCGCTTGTTAAAAAAGTATATGGAAAAATAAAAATCAAGTTTAAGTCATTTTATTCGACTTTACGTCTGTCCGCCACAAATATTGAAGTCGTAATATCACTAGATAAACGTTTAAAGCACATAAAATCATATTAAAATATATACAAGTATGTACTGTATTTACAGTACACGCATTCGTAAATTTAGATTACTTTTTTTGTACTATATTAAAAACTAAAATTTATTTGTTTGTAAGCTTAAAATAGATTTTTATTAACCATATATTATTTAAAATGCTTTCCTAGTGATAAGTAGATTCGGAGACAGGTAAATTCGACTTACG